TCTCACACACACTGGACTTATAGGTTGGACCTAAATATGACTGTCAGTCTTTCAGCCTTGCTTAACTGACTTTAAGAACAATTTTTGTCATCACCGAGGACTTAAGCTGTTGCTAAAATGTAGTACATGTTATTTGGCATTGTTTGCCTGTTTGAACTTCCCATGCTCTGTTACACAGTTTTTGTAACAAATGAGCCTAAATAAGAGGGCTACGTTCTGACAAAAGAAAGAAGCTGTCAATAATTTTTGCACTTTTGATTTTATTTGCACAAAGCAGAATTCATAGAGATTTGAGTTAATCGTTAAGATTGTGTAACCACTTATTGGGCTTCTGTTTTAAGTATTTTTTTTAATTTAAGAAACTCTCAAGTATATCTATTAATGCACTACTACTTATGCGCTTTTCACTTGTCGTTTGTGAACAGGCTGAGTTTCGATTTTTGAAAATATACAAATTTACACTGTTCAAGTGTTGTCATTGTGTTAGAGAGAATAAATGTCATGAATAACTTTGACATTAAACATAATCCAAGTTGAAGTGTTACATCATTTTCAGCCCCCTTTTTGGCTTCTACATTTGGTAGCAGGCCAAATTGACAAAGACCATGCAGAATAATGTAGTATTTTATTTCCACAACAGAGAAAGCTATGTAGTCTCTGTAGGTCTAGGGGAGGACATAAAAAATATCGGTATTGGTATCAGTTATCGGCCAAATAAGTTTTAACATATTGGCAAATCGGATCCAATCCAATATTGTGCATCTCTAGTTTTTTTTAGTTGCCAATATAATGGTAATATCACATCAGTATAGAAAAAAAACTCTATAACTCTGCTTAGTTGAGAGTTAATAAAAAGAGAGTAATGTTTAATTAAACACATATTTATACATTTCAATTTTACTGACAGATTTACAAAAAATGTCTTTTTAAAGTGAGTCATAAAAACAATCAAATCAATATGTTTTAAATGGAACTGGAAACCTATTGTAGAAAATATTGTATAACTGTTTGCCTGGAAAGTTGTAAAAGGCAATTACAAAAAGATCTGTTGTTTGATTTCTCACATGGACAGTGCTTATTTATTCTTGGCAGTCTTGACTAAATACAAACATATACTGATTATCTACTAAACCTTGTTAGATTAAACCAAAACTATCCCAGTTTTAGCCTAGATGGCAAAACACAACAAAAATTATTTTTTTGTCTTTTTACGTAAAAATCCAGGGAATCTTTTGCTAAAGCAGTTCTTGTAAAGTCAATCCATTTGTTGGTCATTAATCTGAATTATTGGAATACAAATAATAGTCAGAATCATTGGCACTTTTTGCTTTGCTGACTGACTTTTACAATGAACCACCCGTCAACAAGATTTTTTTGTTTTGCTGTAATTCTTTAGCCAGGTGTCTGAACCCCTTCAGTTCTTTAGCTTCACGATGACAGCATGGCCTTTAGCTGTGAGAAATACTTTCTTTTTTCAACTACTGCCTGCTTTTTAAGCAGTGGCATGTTTTCCTTGCTTTTCCGTACTGCCTTCCTTTGAGGTAAATGTCAGCTAATTAAGGTTTACACAACCGACCTTTCGCAACCCCACCAGCACCTGAACTGGTCAATCTGCCGATCCACCCAAAAACCAAGCTTTGTGTTACAGGTTGTTCTTGTCTGCACAGAAGCAAAAACACACATTCAGGTTTCTGCTGCCTTCATTACGCTAAATGCTCTAAGGCTATTTTGGGATCAATCCACTTCAAGATGTGTTAGAGCTAGGTCACAGCTAATCAATGTTAGCCTACACAAAAATAGCAAAAAGTGGCTAAAATTTGACATGGCAGTAACTGAGTCACTCACAACACAAACTTTAAGCCCCAAGAGATCATGCAAGATCACACAAGATATTGTGATATTTATTTTTTAACCTTTATTTAAACCAGACAAATCCCACTGAGATCACAGATCTCTTTTGCAAGGGAGGCCTGAGCCTGAAGGTAACCTAACATGTATGCAGTCTTATTTATATATCACATAAGATTGTGCATAATGTTTAAAATGTTAAACCAAATTATCTACAACTGTATAGTTTGTCATTGTAACATTACAGTGTAAAACTCGAACATAAAAGGTGACAGGCAATATACATTATTTCAGTGATTACTAGGCTTTAAGTTTTAGTCCATAGATACATCAGTAAAAACTCTGAAAAGAATGATATTTACTTTCTAACATGTTTCAAGCGAGTGTGGTTGTGTTTGTAAGCTGCCACTAGGTGAAAAATCTAGAATCAAACAATGTGTAGGCAAAGGTGATTAGGCCTGTCACAATAAATCAATTTATCACATGATAAATGAAAATGATCAACCTTATTTTCATTTATCGGCTTTATTCTCTCTTTCTACTGAAGACACTGGATGACAAAAAGCTCAACTCTGGTGCTCTCCCTTTCTCTTTTCTCTTTAAAATCTGTTTTAACGTTCCAAAATCGTGTTTTGGAACGGTAAAAGCAGCTCAGCTGTGAAGCTAAACTACGAGCTAAGCTAACAGGCAGACCTCGGGAAAAAATTTTTGTCTTGTCGAAGCTCCAAAATTCACGGTTGAAACCCGTGCCTTCGTGTAAAAAGTTGTTTTTCTCTGCAAAAAGAAGCTGAGAACTTGATTACTGATTTTTTTTAAATTTATTTAAAGCTTTGTGTGAAAAATACCATGCTAAAGAGGTCAAACCACACGTAGCATCTGCCATTTTGAGAACTAAAGAAATGAAGGAGAAAGCACATGTCATATTAAAGAGACTCCCTCTCATTTTTCCTAAAGAGACACGCTGCTCACTCCCTCACTATCCATCCATCGGTTCAAACTGTCTTAACATCTTGCCATCTGGTGGTCAAAAAAAGTACTACATGCAAAACAAATTAACAAACATTTCCTCCTAAATGTGACAATAATTACTAATTATTGTCAAATTTTAAACATTATTATCATTTATCGCAATAATTTCTGAGACAATTAATCGCCCAGCAAAATTTGTTATCATGACAGGCCTACGTGAAAATAGTGTAAGACATTGTCATGGTATAAAAGAATGAGAGCTGACTTTGTCAAAGACAGATCTGATCAGTCCAGCGGACTAACAGAAAAAGAGAGCAAAATGTATTTCATTTCAAAGATGACTAAGAAGGACATGATGGGGCACGAATGGTTCTCTGAAGTTGATTGTCTGCAGGGACACTGGCTTCATGTGTCATGGTGACCTTCAGTCAGTGTCACTCAGAAATAGTTAAAAATTAATTTCCTCTCTTTTAATCTGCCTTCAGCAGTTCTGTGATGAATAGTTCCAGCAGAGACTGAGACTTTGGTTAAGAGTCTCAGTCAGCACCTGTTCGTCTTCTCAGGTTTCACACCTTCCACAAATGAGCCTGCTGTTTCCATTTCTGCCTTAAATCCATCAGATGTTTTTTTTCCTCACACACCTGACTGGTACGCACATGGTAAAGTTTTGGTCAGATGTATTATATTTCCTTTATTTTCCCCCATTCCTTTTAGGGAGATGATTTAACACTAACTGTATATAACAATAACGGTATATTAACTTTTTGGAAACTTTCACTATATGTTGATTTGAAAAATATGCAGATTTTGGTAATTATCTCTCTCATTAGGATGATGTTTCAACCTGGCAAATGTGTAACTTGTATAAAGCAACAAAAAAAAAAGTTTGCAAACCAGTCTTCTAGGCAAAACAGAAAATCTGAACCCGATCAACGGTAATAAACACATCACAGCAACAATGCACACACTTATTTACAGGGAAACACGGGAAGCATTTTTCAAACTAAAGCCCAACATATAACAAATACAGCATTACAACAAACACGAGTCAAAGGTTTTTGTTGATTACTGCTCCAAGACAGTTAACGATACCATTTACCTTATGTCCAACAATAATATTAATTTTATACATCAGCAGAGAAACTTGCTATAACAAGGAAAAAACACATTCTTAATCACTGCTCTCATTACACTCTGTTTTTTTTGTTTTTTTTCAGAGACATCAAGCCTGACAACATACTGCTGGATGAGCATGGTAAGATTCATTTTTAATCATATTTAAATTTTAAATAAGAAATATGTAGTTAATAAACAAAACATGTACAATTACATTTACTTCACTTGACTAAACAAGCAAACTACTATGGAAAGACATTTCATTCAAAATTAAATAAATAAATAGTGTTATTTAAAAACCATTAATAAATATTCCATTAAATACAAAGATGTTCCCCTGAAATAAAACATTTAAATAGAAATGTTTAGTTTGTTATCCAAGATTTATTTTTTATTTATTTCAAGATTTTTTATTTTATTTCAAGATGTATTTGTATTTATTTCAAGAATAATTTATTTAATTTCATTTTGTGACAGTTTTATTTTGTAAAGCTACTTTACATATTTCAGGGGCTTTTATTTTTAACCCCGTTTTTCATTTTAAGCTCTTTTTATTTCATGTTATTATATTCAAATGAGGGGGCGGGGTTTAGTCTGTGGGGCGGGTCTGGTCAGGGTCAATGTAGCCTATCTATGAGTTTTATAGGCCGAACAACTCAATAACTAAATCAAAAATAAAATAAACAATGGCCTCTCTAACACATAAATCTTGGATAAAAAAAACTAAACATTTCTATTTACATATTTTATTTCATGGGAACATTTATTTATTTAATGGAATATTTATTAATATTTTCTTAAATAGCACTATTTGTTTATTTATTTACTTTTGAATGAAATGGATTTCCATAAAATAAACACTTAAAAGCTTTTGATGGAAGATTTCACCAAAGCTCCAACTTGTGGAAACATTTTTATTCAGATCAAAGTTGATGAAGGACTCAGAGACAGGTTTCATGGACATTGCTTCATCGTACAAGAATAAATATCTCGTTTCATGAATTATTTGGGAAAAGTATTACAAAGATGCAAAAGCAATTTCCTATTTTCCTTTCAAACTGTTAGAGGGGGTTGAAGCAGTGTGTAGTTTAGACTGGTTTTATCTTTTTGAACTATAGGTTCTAATAAGATGCAGTGATGTAATGGAAATGTGGAAGACGGTGATATTTATCATGAGTCTTCTCTGCTGAAAGGGAAATTTCCACTCTGAATCAATGAGTAGCTCTTATCATAGGTTTTAGTCTTGGCTCTGATTTCACAAAATGAAATGCACACATGTGGTAAGGAATAAGGTAGAGAGAGCATGTGGAGAGTGTGTGTGTGTGTTTGTGTTTTAGGGGAGGAGGAAAGAACAATTGTAAATCAAGGCAGCATTATTACACACTGTAAAATCTTTCATCAATATGTAAATTAAGAAGAATAAAAAGGCATTTCATCTTATGACGCAGTGACTCACTATAGACAAGTCCTAAACAAACTTTTTCAGAGGCAGTGCAGAATGCAGATTCATTTTATATTGACCAGAAGCATGGGCACCTTATAATATTCAGATTAATAAGATTTTGTGACAAAACTACAGGCATGGATATGCTGAAGGCCATTCCTAGCTTTATTAGCACAAGCAGCAGTAATGACAACAATAAGATACAGCTGAAGTTGAGGAGCTGAGAACACTGTCCAGACTGCACAAGCTCTATAAAAACAAAGTGATACATTTTTGGAACCTGGTTGTACAGCCCATACACTATGTATATGCATTTTACCTGTTTTTGTATGAGGTTTTAACTAAAATGTTGTACATTTCGTGGAGGGGCAGCACGGTGGCACAGTTGGTAGAGCTGCCGCCTCTCAGCCTAATGCTTGCCCCAGTTCAAATCTCAGCCGGGGGCCTTTCTGGGTGGAGTTTGCCTCCTACAGCATCTTTTGCATTGAAAATACATAGCGCAAAGTGTAAAGCATAGCACTACTAATAATGATTCAAAGATTCAAGGTTCTTTATTGGCATTCGCATCGGGTACATAAGGTGGAACAAAATTGTGTATACAGGATCCCAGTTACATCCAAAAATAGCAAAAATATAAAATGTAAAAAGTAACAGTAAGTAAGGATCTAAGATATACTCTAATCGAATGCCCAGTGTTACACTAAAAGATCTAAGGTATACTTTAGTCACTAATAGTGCAAAACAATACACTGAACAACAGTATGATTCTCATCGGTTCTGTTTGGCTATAATTTACAAGCTAATGCGAGCGGACTCGGGCTCGGAGCCGACTCCGATGAATGAAATAATAATTAAGTTTAATAATGAAATGAATGATAGTTCCCTGAATGAAGGTTATATTCAACATCAAAGTTCATGCTCAGTAATCCAGGTAAAAATCCTACAAAATTAAGTAATTTCATCTGCATGGTTTCTTTTTTTGTTGAGATGTTTTGTCCTTCATCCAAAGGACTTCATCAGTCCAGGGAGCCACAACAAACTCAGGCCCACAAGCAGCACACTCACATAGTGGGCCTACCAGTTTACTGGTGATAAGATGGTTTCTGGAGTCCGCCCTCTCCCCCGTCGACTCCTCTGAGGCAGTCATAGCCAAAGTGGTTCAAAACACCAAAGTTCATGCTCAGTAATTCAGGTAAATATCCAACAAAGTTTAGGCAGGTCATCTGGACGGTTGCTTTTTTTGTTGAGACGTTTCGTCCTTCATCAGGTTATATTCAACATTTTTAAATAAAAGTGGGACAATGTCACACAACAGCTTCTGCATTTCTTTTCTCTCTCTAATTAAATCCACCTCTTAACCACAACATTAAACTCACCACCAGATCTCATATTTGGGGAGAACAAATTCAAAACCTGGATTTCCTGGAACAAGAAAAAAAGTCAAGGTTTTCCCATCACAAACCTAAATATTTGCTGAGCAACACCCATGAACAACCCAGAGGTTCCACCCTAACGGGGTCAGGACTACTTTAGAGGACATATAAACTATTTGACAAATAGTTGTGATGATATGATTACAGTTAAATAGGAAAACCACGTTAATTATTTCATATTTTACCACCATGTATTGTTTCAGATTGTATTAATTTGTGTTGTATCTCCTGACTCCAAGGTTATGTTTAATCAATGAGACAATGCTGTTAAAACACGGGTATGTTGGATATCAATAAAGTATTACATGCATAAAATCTGACCTTGCCAGCCAAAATTGTGACATTGGCCAAATGCTTCTATAGTATGTATATATATATATATATATATATATTCTATAGTATGCACACACGGAGAAACCCCCATTAAAAAAAAGCCTGAGACTTGAGAGGACACTGGACATCTGCTCATGGAGCTTAGGGAATATGCCGGATAAAAGTCCTGCTATCAACAAAGCAAGCTGCGAGGGAGACAGAGACACGCAAACAGGGGGACCCACTGAAAAAAGAAAAGTGATGAGCAAACATTTCTAAAAAGATTTGTCAAAGAAGGAAAAACGGAACAGACAATATGACAGAAAGAGATAAGAGGAAGAGAGATTAGGGGAAATTAGAAAGACAGAAAAGCAGATTTGTCAGACAGTCTGATTTACACAAGACAGCAGATGCTCACCTGTGCTCTGTGTGTCCTTGTAAGCTCAATAAACACATTTACCCTCTTTATGCACTCTCTGGTGAGCCTTTACATTGATCTCTGAAACACATCAAGCAGAATCAAAGGGAGGAAGTAGTCTGCTTTTACATGTGTGAAATCTGAAAACTGAACCTGTGGCCTGTCATTTCCCTGGGAGCTTTTTTTATATAAAGGAAAACAATTACTCACCCACAAGCGAGGTCACTTTATTAAGTAACAGCCCATACTGAGTGCAGGATCCAAGAGTGTTGTTGTCTAGGTTAACCACTGTGAGCTTGTACACCATCCATCCATCCATTTTCTTTACCCGCTTATTCCATTTTGGATCACGGGGGTCGCAGGTGCCCATGTCCAGCAATCACTGTGCGAGGGGCGGCGTACACTCTGGACGGGTCGCAAGTCCATCACAGGGCCACATAGAGACAAATGAGACAAACAACCATTCACTCTCTCACTCACACCTAGGGGCAATTTAGAGTTACCAATCAGCCTAAAATGCATGTTTTTGGACTGTGGGAGGAAACCGGAGTACCCGGAGAAAACCCACGCATGCACGGAGAGAACATGCAAACTCCACCCAGAAAGGCCCCTGGACCGGGGTTTGAACCAGGGACCTGCTCGCTGAGAGGCAGCAGCTCTACCAGTTGCGCCACCATACTGCCCGAGCTTGTACGCACATATTCTAAAACAAAATAATATTGAAACTGCACATCCTTACCACCATCACCTAAACAGACACCCAAAACAATCAGTGTTTGGTGCTACAAGTTTCCTTTATTTTATTTTTTTCTTAAGCAATACCAGACTGGTGGCTGTGGTGTTCCTCAAGCTGCTGCTCTTCAGGTTTCACTGTGAGGCTGAATGTTCTGTTTTCCAGGAAGATGCCTCCACCATATGAGTGCTGCTGCTATGAAGCAGTGTTTGAGTTTCAGAAATCTTCAGTGTAAAGACATTAAACTAAAAATTGTTGCGATAGTAGATAAGTCATCTCCAGCATGAAAAGACTAACAGATTGTGGGAGATCTTTGTTTAAAACGTCATTAAGGCAGTAGATAATCAAATCAAACTCAAATTCATTCAACCTTTATTTAGACAAATAAATCACATTGACCCTCGGAGACTCACTTACAAGTGAGGTCTGTTTAGACCACTTGTGTCAAACTCAAGGCCCCGGGGCCAAATGTGGCCCTCATTGACATCGTATATGCCCCCCAAGAAGATTTGTTAAATGTAAAATATTTTTATCACTTTAATTTTTTTCAGTAATATTTGATTATGAAACCAAAAGTGCAGCAGGGAACGTCAAATGAGACCAATCAAACTCTTGTTAAGGAACCTGCAACCAAGAAAAGATGTTGAATATGTAACTTGAGTTAATGTAGATTCTGAAATTGGCCCTTAATTTGAAAAAAGGTTTTAATTTTGCCCCCCTTTTGTAAGTGAGTTTGACACCCCCTGGTTTAGACAAACAAAAATTAGTGAAACTGAACACATTTAGGAAATTTGAGGCAAAAAAAAAACATTCCTATCAAAGCCTTTCTTCTTGGCTGAGAAGAAAGACCCTGATAATGAAAAAAAACACCCTGCACAGACAAGCACATGGTGATGTAGAACATTCTGCATGGAGTGGGGGGAGACGACAAGGGTGGTGAGAATATCCAAGGATCCAAATCAAATATATTTGTATAGCATTTAAAATAACAGTAATTTACCAAAGTGTTGCACACAAAACAAGCACCAGAAAGATCATGGCAAATATAAGAAACCATAAAAACAGCTACAATATGATAAGGCATAAAACAAAACCATTAAAATAATACAGATATGTTAACTCTCGTGCTTTATTAAAAGTCAGAGAGTATGTTGTATGATGAAATTTAAAAACACCAAGAGTTAAAATGTAGAGGCAGCTGGTTCCACAGTTTAGGGACTACAACTGAAAAGGCTCATTGACAAATTATTGCACAGCAATTAAACAATCTATGGCAATACGTTGGTGAGCTACACGACAAAGGTCTGGGAGAGAGTTTGGAAGCTAGATTTAGATGAGAGGTGACTATCTGTGAGCAGCAGTATGGCTTCATACCAATAAAGAGCATCACAGATGTCATCTTTGCTTTGAGGATGCTGATGATGAAGTACAGAGAGGGTCAGAAAGAACTCCATTGTCTATTTGTGGATTTAGAAAGTGCAAATGACAGGGTGCTGAAGGAGGAGTTATGGTATTGCATGAGGAAATCTGGAGTGGCAGAGAAGTATGTTAGACTGGTACATGACATGTATGAGGAAAGCAGGACAGTGGTGAGATATGCTATAAGAGTGACATATAGCTTCAAGGTGGAGGCAGGAGTGCATCAAGAATCGGTTCTGAGCCCCTTCGTGTTTGCTCAGGTGATGGAGCGACTAACAGATGAGGTCAGGCAGGCATCCCCATGGACTATGATGTTTGCAGATGACACCGTGATCCCGTAGCAAGACAGAGTACATGTGTGAATGAGAGGGAGGCCGGTGGAACAGTGAGGCTACATGGAGCAGAGGTCACAAAGGTGCAGGACTTGAAATACGTAGGGTCCACTGTCCAGGAAAATGGGAAATGTGGTAAAGAGATGAAAAAGAGTCCAGGCAGGATGGAGAAAAGTTTCAGGCGTGATTTGTGACAAAAGAGTGGCACCAAAGGTGAAAGGAAAAGTTTACAAAGCAATTGTGAGACCAGTTGTGTTGTATTCAAGTGGGGATGAAACCCACAAACACTCAGTTACAAAACCACTGCTTCAAGCAATGACCCCCCCCCCCCCCACACACACACACACACACACACATACAAGCCATGAAATTGTTTTCATAATGTCCTACCATGTTAGTGGACGTTTCCTATTCTTTTATTTTTGTTTCCTCTGTTTTTCTCACTTTTTTGTTCTGGTCTTCTCTTTCTGCTTCAAATGGATTTAAAAACTGAATATCTCCACTGTTGGTCTCAACAGGTTTTATTGCAGCTATTTCTGGGTGAATAAGTAAAAAAACCGAAGATGATACACTAAAAACCATTTTTACTTTGACTTAAAATTGTCAAAATAGTTGAAAAACACACAGAACAAAACAATACACAGCAAGCCCAGTAAACAAGTTATATGCATTATTTATTAGCAGGAACTACTTTGGGGGGTAAATGATTTTTTTGCCCCACATGCCCCTATGGACCGACTGGTCAAGGTGAAGTTTCTTCAGCAATGGCTGCACCACAGCATGTTTAAAACAGGCGGGAACAACACATGAACTCAGAACATTGTTCAAAATAACTGAAATGTCAGGACCAACACATTTAAAAACGTTCTTTAAAACATGAGTTGGAATCAGATGTGCGTTCCTTCAAGGAAAGCTAGTTTCATTCATGTTGGGTTTTTTAATGAATATGATAGGACGCTTGCCTGCAATATTTATTCTTATCTAACTGTATCCAAGAAAGGCTTTCTTTCAATTATCCTTTCGTTAAAATCACATTTGTGCATCCTCTAATGCACAGTACATTCCAGAAGTTATAAAATGTCCTTAGGGTTCTTTTATAGTCAAATGGGAGCTTTAATTTAATCTTCTTACAGTAATTACTAGATTTTTTTGTTTGTGCCCCTAATGACCTCAGCTTGCTTTCAATGTTCCCTTTAGCTGCAGTTTGTTGTTAATGTGTGCAGACAGAAAAATAGAGAATGAAGCATAGCACGAAACAAATAAGTTTTAAAAAGGGAGAAGACAACAATGTTTTCTTTTTATGAGCTGATTAATTCTGACAGCTCTTGGTTATTTAAGTCAACAACCTTTGTGTGATCTCACTATAGTCCAGCATATGTGTGCAGAGTTAGAGTACTCATTCATCCAAGCAATGTGGCATATACCGTGCTGCGTTATTAGTCACTATGAAAGAGACAGACACACATATATTCTACATTTAGCTCATTAGTGTGTGTGGTCAGTGACCATGGTGAAGACTCTGGGCCATCTGGCAACGTGTTCAGACACAGGTCAATGGCATGACTTTGAAAACTACTGATGCTGCTTAACGGCTTCACAGTATCAAACGTTAATCAATAAAGACCCATTTCCTTTTTGCTTCACTGTTTTGTAGACAAAAATGTATTTGATCCACAGATTTGTTTTGTTTTTTTGTCAAGCCAATACTTCTGTAAGCTGCTGACAAAACAGGAAACCTGAAAAGTGTAAGCTGATTAGATTAATTTCCTCAAGAGAAACACTTTGATAATACATATTGATGCATTAAAATTAACTCTGGAAATGTGCATTAAAGATAGGCTTTGTGTTGGTTTGAGGTGTAGTAATATAATCTTTTTCATCTGCAGGACATGTCCATCTAACAGACTTCAACATTGCAGCTATTGTAAAAGAAGACCTGAAGGCAACATCCATCGCTGGCACCAAACCATATATGGGTAAGAAGAATTAAATGTTTGAACCATTCTTTGCAATAAAAATTGAAAAGTTGGTTACAACTTTACAAAATAGGCCCCTTTAGAAATTAATTAACAAAATGTTATGATTAGGTTAATCATACATTTGTGAACACTTCATAAAACATTAATAAGTTTGTATTAAACAAGTAAGATAAAAGTTCTGTGATTACTCGTTAAATAAATGTAATTTTTTGCTTGTTAATAAGAATTTTTTTAACTACAGGTATTCATTCTTGCTGGTAGAATTAATTATTTTTTAAAATTGATTAGTATCAAGGTCAAGGTCAAGATTTCTTTATTGTCATTGGCATCACATGCGGTACATGTGGTGGAACAAAATTGTGTACACAGGGTTCCAGTTACATCCAACAAAAGTATAAATTGTAAAAAACAAACAAAAAAAAAACTGTAATGTATAAGATCTAAGATTTGAACAAAGAAATAGTTGAGAAAGAAAGAAATATTTGGTTTGGTAGTTTTTGTGGATTTGGGGTTACATAGAATTTGATACTTAGATTTGAAGCTCTCGACCATGACCTCTCTAAGTGGCTTTAAGAATCTGCTGGACTCCTGGCAGGGACCAATGCAGACATGTTCCTGTTTTTAGTTTTCTACATTCGCCTTAGAATCTAGCTGTTTTTTTTTTTGTTTTTTGTTACCTTTTCCTTTTAGCCATCCTAGTTGTAAAAAAAAAATACCTGTAGTATGACTTTTTTATAATTGTTTATTGTTGTTGCTGTTGTCCATTGTTGTCATCTTTCTTTGTTGAAATCAGGTCTCTCTTGTAAATGAGTCCTCGAGGCTCAATGGGATGTACCTGTCTAAATAAAGGTTGATTGATAGAAAGGAACAAACAATGTTATAAAAGCTGTTGTAATTGACAAATCTGAGTAAACACACTAAAAGCTCCATTGAATGGCATTGATTGAGCAAATCCTATTTTCACAGTGCAGCCATTAGATTCACCTAGCTTTACTTGTGAAATGGAGTCAATAATGTTCAGTCTGACATCTTAAATACTATGAATCAGTACACAATTCCCCTTTCCTTACAACATGTCTGGAAAAATAAACTAGGCATTGATTAAAAAGGCCATATTTGGTTTTCAGGCTTGAAAATAACCACAATAATTAGAAGTAATACTATCTCTGGGATGCACTGATTACCCTTTTCAACACAGATGGAGTCATCCTCACTCTGACTCTTAAATACAGCATCACACTGCAGTGCTTTCAGCTCCTGGAAGATCAGATATGAGCTAACAGGGTTTCAAAGGCATAGAAATGATGAGGTAGCTTGTGTATTGGTCTCTATATGGGCTTGTTCTTGTGTTGCTCTGCACACGTTAAGTTTTCATCATGTAATGTCTAGAAAATCAGCTGTGGCAAGTTTTCAGGTGGATCTTATGAAGTCAGAGCAAGTCATCCTTGTGTACTCTGAAAAACAACAAAAATACCATCCATCATCTTTACCCTCTTCTTTCCCTTTTTGAGTTGTGGGGGTCACTGGTGCCCATATCCAACAGTCACTGTGCGAGAGGCGGGGGACACCCTGGACAGGTCGCAAGTCCATCACAGGGACACATAGAAACAAACGAGACAAGCAACCATTCACTCTCACTCACACCTGGGGACAATGTAGAGTTACCAATCAGCCTAACATGTATGTTTTTGGTCTGTGGGAGGAAACCGGTGTACCTGGAGAAAACCCTCACATGCATGGAGAAAACATGCAAACTCCACCCAGAAAGGTCCCCTTCTGGGATTTGATCCCGAACGCTTCTCGCTGAGAGGCAACAGCTCTACCAACTGTGCCACCATGCTGCCCAACAAAATATCTCTCTCACTAAAAAGTTTCAGAAAATAAACTGTTTTTCCCCAATATGGCAAAATGGAATACACAGCAAATAACATGTACAGTAGATGTGTGTGCAAGCTGCAAAAAAAAAAAAAAAAAATCATTTTCACCAGTTTACTTCCACAATAGACAATAAATAATCAGTTTAGAGGGTCTGACTGAATGTGCCTAGGTTTTTGTAAGAGACAATATGACACTATATCATTTGCTTTCTTTTATTTTTTTCATTTTCTCATCTACCTGTATGTTGTATGTAACAGGTCTCTCTTGTAAATGAGTCTTGAAGCCTCCATGGGAACTATCCTGTATAAATAAAGGTCTAATAATATTAAGGATAATGAAAATCATTAAGTAAATAACAATAAAAATGGTTATTTCTGTCCAAATAAATGAAATGTTTCACTTTAAAACATAAAGCAAGTGACTAGTATGGAGCTGTGAGGCTGCCATTTTTACACAAATGAGTAATCCTAAGTTTAAATAAGAATAAATTAAAAAAAATTTATTATGCATAGCACCGCAAACTTTTATTTGGTTATCTTGGCTAGTAATTCACATTACAATGATATAAAGTAATATATACAAAAAAGTTTAGAAAAATAACGGGTACAATATAAAATGGATGAATGGGAAAGGTAATATGTGAAAAGTGGGATTAGTTATGTATTTATATACAATATGGGTCTAAATATGTTATGTGTAAAGCATGAAGATAATTTATAAATATATACTTCTGAACTCATAATAATAATGGTATTATATTTATTAGTTGCATAATGGTGTGTCTATCTATCTATCTATCTATCTATCTATCTATCTATCTATCTATCTATCTATCTATCTATCTATCTATCTATCTATCT